CAGTGGGAGAGAGAGGCACTTCCAAAGTCTCTTACTGAGGGCGAATACGGAAGGAGTTTTGGATTTCGACTTTTTTTTCATCTTAATTAAAATCATATTCTCATTTTAATTGTTAGAATCGTGATTTTTTTTTCTTGGTTTTTCACCTGTGAAAGTTGTGTCTTATAATTCATCTTGAAAAACGAGGATTAAACAGCTGATTAAAATAAGTACCATAAGAAATAAGCTTAAATTTCTTTTCACCTCAGTGATTTTCGGAACTCTCGACAAATTATCCTCAAAGATACGTTTGGGTTCTGAGTTGCAACTAAATTTGCTGAACTCATGTGGTTCTTGACGGAACCATAATACATTTAGAAATATTTATGCATTTTTTTTTGTGGCTGAAAAGTCACAATTCTTTTTCAGAACAAGACTGTCAGTGATTTCTAATAGCAGCTGCATTTTTACGTACAGTTACTTTTCTTTTTGAATTGGTGTTAGTTGCCTGTTATTCTTCCAGAACTGAGTCATAGAGATTCATATCTTATAAGTTGTTTTTTTTTTTTTTGTTTTTTGGGAAGTTACTAATTTTCATTTTTTCGCTTAAAGAATGTGTTTGGAGATACTTTTCGTTATATACTGACCCTGTTCGCAATAGCGTTATAGTTATCACCATGTGATGATTAAATGATTTACAAGTTTACAGACCTCTGTTTGTTTGTTCGCATTTGCTAGTGTTTTTTTTTTTTTTTTTGGTTGAATTTCTCATGTATTTTGTAACTGAAATATTACTAAGCGACTCAGCAACCGGCTTTTTTTTGAATATTGGGCTGTAGCGCGTTCCTGGAGAGATGTTGTGCATTGAGAATAAGGAACTTGGCGTTTTTCTAAAAAAAGTGGCATAATGCGCTAGATACATGTTCTGCATACTTTGTGCCGAATGAAGCCAGAAGCTTGAGGGCTTGCACGGATGCGTATTTCTTGAATTGTGTACTATACTTTTACATAGCTTATTCCCTCCCTCACTGATAAAAACTGTGGGAAAATGTTCCTGCACAAGCGAGAGCAGATTTTAGCAGCGAGACAGCGCATAGTTCTGGTCGCATGCACATTTCATTGTCGAGTTATTTGTA